AGGAATGGGAGATTGGAGGAATGGGAGATTGGAGGAATGGGAGATGGAAGGAATGGGAGATGGAAGGAAGGGGAGATTGGAGGAATGGGAGATTGGAGGAATGGGAGATTGGAGGAATGGGAGATTGGAGGAATGGGAGACTGGAGGAATGGGAGATGGAAGGAATGGGAGATGGAAGTGTCACTCTGAAGCTGCAGGAGGATGTTGCCCCATTGTGGTTCATGACCTGCAGTGTGGTCTGAGGCAAGTGTCACTCTGAGCTCTTTGCTCTGGAAAAGTTTTTCTGGCAGATCCTTGACATATTCCCTTCCCATCAAGGCTTTCCAGGAAGTGGTGAATTGGGGATAATCAGTGTTTTACCACCATTTGTGTCTGAGGTGCCTCCAAGAGCTGCCCAGTGAAACTGCTCCTGGCAGGAGGTCTGGGCAGACCCTTGGACATGGATGTGTGTTTGTGTTCTGATGCTGGGCATGATCCAGCCTGCTCATAAAGATCAGATATTTAGACATCAGTTATCATTATCAAATTAATTAATTATCACTATCCTTCAGCCTGTTGATAATGCCTGCTAGCACACAGTTATTGAGGCTGAGTAGTGCAACCCTGGGGCTCCCTCTCACTGTTTCCAGGTAGTTCTGCTGCTGCCTCTCTGCCAGCCAGCTACACTTGGGGAGATGTAAGTGTGGCAGACTCTCAGGGCTTGGAAAGCTGCATTATTCCCAGCCATTCCATGATTCCACCAGCTTAGTTCAGGATTTCTTGTACCTGCAGAGTAGCCCAGGTTGGCCTGGGTCACCAAACCTGACAGACTCTGCCCAGTTTGGCATTTACTTTCAGATTTGGGTTATGTTTGTCAAACTTGGCTTAAGCAGCAGCCAACTTTCACAGTTTAATCTCTTCCTTAATGGTAATGAATTAATTTGAAAACTATAAATGAGGTTAACAGGGAATGTCTTCTCTGTCTGACATTCTCCAACCAATCTTTCATCCCATTTAGGTGGAAAACAAAGCAGAGGCTGAAACTGAGGAAGCAGAGAAAGTTCCAGAAGGAGAAAACGAGAGAAATGCAGAAAAAGAGCCTGAGGGGGAAGTGGCTGCAGAGCCCAAGTCAGGTAACAGTTCCCAGCTGCTCCTCGAGCTGTGCTGGATTTACCAGCCTTCCCCAAGTGCTGGGACAGACCATAAACCCAACTGGAAATATTTCCTCGTGCACATCAGGCTGTTTCATGCTTCAGTGGAACTGAGCCTGGTTTAATTTCACTGCAAACTCGGGCTCTAAATCCTTCCTTGAGCTCACTGTAGAGCTCAGCTGAGCTTTCTGTGCAGGGACTGAGAGAGGGAGCTGCAGTAACAAAGTGCCTAGAGGGCACAGAAATGATTTTATTTTTGCCCATATTCCACAACATTTGATCATTTTGGATGCAAAGAGGTGGAACTGCTGGAATTGTTCAAGGCCAGGTTGGATGGGGCTTAGAGCAGCCTGGGACAGTGAAAGGTGTCCCTGCCCATGGCAAGGGGGTGGAATGGGGTGAGCCTTAAGGTCTTTTCCAACCCAAACCATTCCATGATTCTCTGTTCACTTCGACCCTTAAAAGTTAATATTTTAGCTCAGTTTCTCTGTGAAGTGATGCAGATGATTTTCACAGGCTGAGGAGTAATGTTGTTTTCTACATGAACCCTCATTCTTGTTTATTTTTAACATGTTTCCCTTGTGCCTCATGGAATCCTGGAATGGTTTGGGCTGGAAGGGACCTTAAAGCCCATCCAGTGCCACCCCCTGCCTTGGGCAGGGACACCTTCCACTAGCCCAGGTTGCTCCAACCTGGCCTGGGACACTCCAGGGATGGGAATTCATTTATTGTCTTTTCCTGGCACTTAGATTCAGTTTTTTAGCACAGGTAGAACAGGGAGCATTTGGATTTGCTGTAATGGGGGAGTTGATTTGGAAACGCTGAGAGGAAGCTGATGGCAGCTGATGGACTGGGAGGATGGGAATGGAAAGTGTTTCAGGCTGTCCATGTGTTGGGTCAGATCCTCTCAGATGGGGGTCCCTGTCAGGGTTTGGGGGGGAGCAGGGCTGACTGGGGATGAGCTCATTAGTGGGGCTCGTTAGTGTGAGAGCCCTCCCCACCCCGAGGTGCTGCAGGCCAGGGCAGCACACAAACAGCCTGGGGGGATGTGTTGCAGAGGAGAAGGAGGCAGAGGAGAACAAGGAGAACGTTGATGGGAGCAAAGACAAAGAGAGCGAGGCCGGGAAGAGGAAAGTGGAGCACGAGATCTCGGAAGGGAACGTCGCCACGGCTGCAGCTGCTGCCTTGGCCTCTGCTGCCACCAAAGCCAAGGTTGGTTCTGGCCCAGCACCCCCTGCCTGGGCTCCCAGCTCCCCGAAATCCCTGCCTGAAATGGCTCTTTGTTCCAGAGCTGAGTTCACATCCTAATCCCTGACACCTCCAAGGAGCACAAGTGCTGCCTTCTTTTCTTCTGCTTGAACCCCTACGTGAGAGAACAGACAGTTCTAATCTAAGCAGCTGCTTTTATGGTTAAAAGTCGATGAACATCCCTAAGAAACAGCCCCAAAATGTGTTTGTTATTTCTTGGAAAGGCTTTTCTCTGCTGGGCAGGTCTGGCTGCGATGCTGAGGGTGTTGGTCTACTGAAAGAACCTTCTCTTGCCCTTCTGCTGCTCTGGGGGCTCCACACAAACCCTGTCCCTGGGCTCTGTGAACACAGGGTGCTCTTCAGTTCTGGCCTTGCAGTTTTTACAGACAGCTTTAATGATTTGATTCCTTGTTAAGACGTCTGTTAAAAGCACCTCCTTGTCTTTCTCTCCCTAAACTTGTGTTTGTCTGTGGTCTCTAATGAGCTGTGTGTGAACGAGGGTCCCATCTGACAGCTTTTCTTCACCCTGTAATTACTGATTGCTCATTGTCTCTCCTTTCCTTTTTGCAGGAACCACACTGCTCTCATTTCTCTCAGAGTATCTTTTTTTTTTTTTTCAAAATCTGTTTTCTCTTTACCACTTTCTGTGGATTCAAGTTTTAGTTGAGGGTTTTAATTGCTCTTGGACTCGGTGCCCTGTTCCATGTCCACCTCCTTTATAGACACCAAGGGCAGAGCATGGGTGCTGTGTATTCCTGAGGGGTTTCCAGGATATAATGAGGTGGTGTGTGTTGTACTGACTTTTGCACTCTGACCTCTGACTCTTCAAACTTTAACTTTAGACACTTTCCCCCACCTGCATCCCCCAGACTGAGATGGTGGGTGATGTCAGGGCACAGTCCCTCCTTTTGAACCCGGGACATTGAGCATCTTTTAGTTGTTACCTTTCAAAACAGGTTCTAAAATCCCAGGTTTCAGCAAACTTGGTGTCCATTAAAATGCCAGATTGCAGGTGAGCCTGAGGTTCAGTGTTCTGGTGAAGTGCAGAGCCCAGACTGGCTCCCTCTTGCATCACTGTGTCGTCACCTGAACCTGAGAGGAGCTTGCAGTTCATCAGACTCACAGAAATTCTCAGCCAAGTTGGAAAAAAACTGCTCATATATAAGGAGCCATGAAATTTAATGTCTGTTTTATGGAAGGAAATAAAGCTGAGCTCCTGTTTCCCTCCCTGGTGCTAACGAGCCCTGGAGGGAGCAGGGACCTGGCTGGTGGCAGTTTTCATTATGGTAATAATAATGGTTGGGGAGAATTTTAGCTTTGCATTACAGGAAATAATGGGTTGTAATTAGGATGTTGACACTTCAGAGGAGAATTTGAGTCCAACAGGGATTTCTCTTTCCACTCGCTTAAAAACCCAGACAATAATAAAGCTTTTGGTGATCTGTGTCTTGTCTGAGGGAGTAATTAAATTCTTCATCATAAACTCTAGTCCTGGTCACGTGAAAAGCTGTTACAAAGGTGTTTTCCTTGGGATTTTGTGTCAGAGGAATGTTGCAGTTGGCTTCTGAGGAGAGACGGGTTAGAGGCAGGATCTTGAGGTGGGTTTGTTTGTTTGTTTGGGGTTTTTGTCTTTTGGGATCAGTGGCTTCACCAAGAAGTTGTGCTGTTTGAGAGGTGATCAATGTGTGTGTCCAGGGGTGAGACTGTGTTACATACAGAGCAACAATTTAAAGGGTGTTTTTGCAGGGTCTGGCTTCTGACCAAACAATATTAGAATTAAAGTCCCTTTTCCTCATTTCCCTCTCAGATTCCTAACCCAGTGTAAGCTGGTTTTTCCTTTCTGCCCAGAAGTATCCCCTGATGGATCATGTCCTCTGCTGCTCTGAGCTCTGCTCCAGCTGGGCTGAGCTGCAGAACTCCTGCTGAGCTCCTGATCCATCCCTCCACTGCCCAGAGGACTGATGTGGTCCCAGTTTGACCTCCTGCACAGCACTGATGCCATGACTGCCCTGAACTCCTGTCCTGGGGTAGCTGCACTGAGCAGACCTTGCCTGGGAGCCACTGATGCAAAGGGGCTCCAGGGAGCTGGAGAGGGACTGGGGATGGAGGGACAGGACACAGGGAATGGCTTCAAACTCCCAGAGGGCAGGGTTAGCTGGGATAGTGGGAAGGAATTCCTGGCTGGGAGGGTGGGCAGGCCCTGGCACAGGTTCCCCAGAGAAGCTGTGGCTGCCCCTGGATCCCTGGAAGTGTCCAAGGCCAGGTTGGAGCAACCTGGGCTGGTGGGAGCTGTCCCTGCCCATGGCAGTGGGACTGGATGGTTCCTAAAGTCCTTCCAACCCAAAGCAGCCTGGGATTCTGTTTTACAGAATCATTTAGGTTGGAAAAGCCCTTTAAGGTCATTGCTCAGTGATGACTCAAGGCTGGAGCAGCGCTGGGGTTTTAATTTAAATCCCCATTGATTTTGTGTTACTGATTTTTTCCTTGTGGTCTGTGCCCACGGGGGGCCCTGGGTGATGCCAGGCTGAGGAACAGCCTCTCTGGGCCTCTCCAGGAAAAACTCCATTGTCATTTCCTTTCTAATGTGTGTCTTGAGACCTGTCCTTTACCTAATCATGTGCTTTGCTGATTTGATGTTCATCTGGTTTCACTGTTAAAGTTGCACGTGTGAAACGAGGCAAAACGACTGGCAGGAGACTCTGAACCAACCACAGGGCTCCTCTCGCTCTGAATTTTCATACAAAGGAGTTTATTTCACTGAACAGTGTTATTTACATTAAGTTCTCTAGCCCTGCCAGCATTATTTCATTATTTCAAGCGTGTGCAGCACTTTGGTCGGTGTTTAGCTGAACAGCTGCTTGAATTTCACAGGGATGTGGTGTGGGATGAGCTTGGGATCACCCTGAATCTCTCAAACTGACTGAAAATTCACCTCAGTGAGAGTGTGAATGTTTATTATCCAGCTTCCCTGAAGGCTTGCTTTGTTGCTGGTGGGTCACAGATGTGTCACATGACACAACAATATGGAGAAATTCTCTTTATAATTAGGATTACAGGGAGTTTTTGAATGCTGCTTTCCTCCAACTGTGTGTTTTCTCACAGTTCTGAGCCAGTTTGGGGCCCAGCTCAGTAAATATGAGTCTGCTTGCAGCTTGAGCTGGATAAAATCCAGCTTCTTCTTTTTTCCTTCTTCCCCTCAGCCCTCACCTCCGCCTTCTGCCAGCCCAGTCCTCCTTCCCCTCAGCCCTTGGATGTCAGTGAGGCTTGGATGGGACACTGCATGGAAACATCTGGGGCTGCAGAACCCCCAAGCAGCACAGGATGGGGGTGTTTGCAGTGAATTTTCATTCTGAACAAGAGGTTTTTACCAAAAACTGGTGGAAGGCATCATTAACACACTTCTCACACTCTGAGAGTGTGAACACTTTTATAGGATGTCTCATAAATATATAGACATATATAGATCTCCTGAATTATTTATGTCTAAGTGTGCATATATAAATGGGATAAAGCTAAATCCTTGTAAAGAATCGATTTGCCTTTAACCTGAGAAAAAGTTATTTTAGTGGCCAAGACATGCAAGAGTCCTCTCTGTGTTTTGGGGGTTGTTCCAGGGAACAGCCTCCTGCGAGTGCTTTGGGGGAGCTTTTTGGATGACCCATGGAACAGACCCATCTCCCTCATTCCCATTCCCACTGGAAGTGCTCCTGTGCCCAGTGCTGGGAAGGCTCTGAGGCAGAGCTGGATTGCTCCGAGCTCTGAGCATCCCAAATACCTCTTGTGTTAAACCTTAACACTTATTTATTCCATTAAAAGCTTAATAACCCTCTGGTTCCCGGCGTAGGATTGATAATCTAATTCCCTGCTTTCTGTGCAGGAGTGGGATGGGATGGGCAGAGCTGGGTGCAGGCAGAGCTGGACTGTTCCTTCCCTTGGAACACTTCCCTCTGCCCACGTTCCCANACCAACCCTGGCAGAGCTGGACTGTTCCTTCCCTTGGAACACTTCCCTCTGCCCACCTTCCCAAACCAACCCTGTGTTCTCCCCCAGCACCTGGCGGCCGTGGAGGAGAGGAAGATCAAGTCCCTGGTGGCCCTTTTGGTGGAAACCCAGATGAAGAAGCTGGAGATCAAACTGCGCCACTTTGAGGAGCTGGAGACCATCATGGACCGGGAGAAGGAGGCAGTAAGTGGGTTTGGGGTGGGACCACCCCCTGCAGGGACCCGTGTGTGCCAGCTGGGGACCCGGGCATTCCGGCCCTTCCTCCCCCTGAGGGTCTCTCCTGCAGGTAAAATGCACAGTTGCCTCCCACAGTGGCTTTTGAGCCGTGTCCCCCTTTAGCCAGCACTGTCTCTTTGCCACGAGCACCACTGGTGGTGTCAGGGATGTGCTCCCTAATCCCAGCTCCAGGCAGGGCTGTGGGGCTGAGCCTTTCTGTGCCTTTGCACGTGGGTTCTATCCCACAGCAGGGCAGCTCTTCCCTGCAAAGAGTGGAATGGGTGGAAACTTTCCTTCCCCCAGGGGAGGGAGCAGCTCTGCCTTTCCTCCCAGGCCCAGCCCAGACCTGGTTCCAACAGTGAAGTTCAGGTTTTTTGGGGGCATTCTCAGCAGCCCTTGGGAAAGCCCTGGGAGTGGGATGTGGAGGGGGAAGGAGGTGTGTGCAGGAGTACCAGCTTCAGTCTGTGATGGTGATGATGGGTTTGGCTGAGCTGGGAGGGCAGCAGCAGCTCCAGGAGAAGGGAAGGAAGCAGCGAGGTCAGGACATGGAAGAGGGGCTGTCTGGGCTGTCAGTGCTGGATTGCTCAGCAGGTATGAGGGTTTGTGTCAGATACAGAGCAAGAGGCTTCCAGAGAAGTGATTCCTCTCCAGGTACTTACAGATGACTCAAAACTTCATTTTTATCAGAGTGATCACTTTTAATCCATTTTTTGTGTTGTGCAGCTGCCTCCTTCTTCTCAGAAGCCAGTTACTGTAGGTGGGTTGGAAATGTTGATTCGTAATTCCAGGAATTTCCACACTTGCTCTTCTGTGTGAATTTAATGGAATTTACACCCTCATTTGGCATTATTGGCATCACAGACTATCTCAGGTTGGAGTTCAACTCCTCACCTCCCAAAACTAAACCATGTGACCAAGGGCATCACCCAGACTCCCCTTGAATTCTGCCAGGTCAGTGCCATGACCCCTGGGTCCCAGCCTCCCTCTCCATGAAGAACCTCTTCCCAGTGCCCAGTCCAGAGTTCCCTGATGGAGTTTGACAAACTGTGGTCTCCTCTTGGAGCAGGATGCCAGCAGGAGTTTCTGGCTTGCTCCACATCCTCCCCCGTTTCTGTCTGTGTTTGCCCCTGATTGGCAGCTCAGGAAATGGACCCAACTCTTAGGGAAAGGTTCCCTGCAGATTCCTTTCTTTGGGGGATATATTCCATTAGTGACAGGGGGTGTTTTTCTCCATTCTGAGGCGTATGACATTTTCCTTTTTAGAAATGTGCATACAGATTTTCCCCTTGGCTTCCTGGTGGTTACAGTCGGTCTTTTCACCTGTCATTGTGGATATTTAGGGGAATAATTAAAGCAAAAAAACCTCTTTAGTGCCGCTGCATACTGTGAATGTGTCGTTACTGCTGCCCTGGCTTTTCCTGCAGGGAAGGTGCAGGGACTGTGAGTGTTGACAGGAATCAGTGCTGCTCTGGAGGGTGTTAAATTTAAGGCAAAACACATTTATTCAGCATTTAACTCAGTAATGTCAGTGCTGCCAGCTCTGGTTGTGTGAAACCAGGGGCCTGGTGGGGGAGCTTTGCTGACCCAGAATTTCTAATGGCACGTGAGAGCTTTGCTGGGTCTGTTCAGGGAGGTTGGAAAAGCCCTCCCAGCCCATGGAT